GTTGCTAAGGTGTTGCTAGGCCATGTGGTTGCTAAGGTGTTGCTATGTCATCCCAGGTGGTTGCTAAGATGTTGCTAGGCCATGTAGTTGCTAAGGTGTTGCTACACTACCCCAGGTGGTTGCTAATGAGGCTTATTCAGATGACAAGGACAAGTTTGACACAACTGCCAGAATAAAAAAGGTGCTTTGAGATCACCGGGATGATCATGCAGCCCTAGAAAAGGGTTTTTCTCACTGCTGAGCCAAAAGCAACAAGCAAACATGTCTGTAAGTGAAAATGGAGAGAAAAAGGGAGAATGAGAGTGAACGGAAAGTGAACGGAAAGACTGAGAGTGAACGGAGTGGGTGAAAGCGGGCAGGAAGTGTTTAAGCGGTGCCATCATTTAGCCTTCTGTAACAGCACAGCAATCCTACTGTGGTTAACCCTCATTACTCTCCCTCTCTCTCTCTCCCTCTCTCTCTCCCTCTCTCTGTATGGAGGAGGTTATTCAGTCTGCTGGTATGTGTGTCAGTCAGTCTGTAAGTAGGGCGCTGTGATTGTACATAAACACTCTGTGGTCAGCAGCCTCAGTCTGACTCCACTTTACCCACATAAACTGGGCAGCTGGACAGGAAGGTCCACACCAGCGGGAGCTCAGAGGTGTTTCATGTCTTTTTAATTGTCTGACGCTAAAACTGACGTTTTTAGTGAGGCCTGACCCAGACCTACATCTCCAAACGTCCTCCACCGCATCTGCCAAACCAGAACGCCCCCGCTGCTCACATCGCCTTCCTAAATGGACTTTTTCTACTTTCCCTACTAAAATGGCTCGGACAAGCCTGGTCAGCGCGATTACCACCTATCAGTCCTGCCATGTTGGTCCTGCATGTCTGTGTAAATATAAAAAATCAGGTCCAGATCACTTCATCCTGCCAAGCTGTGAGCTCAGCTGGTGACCGTAATCAGGTCGACTTCTCAGTAATGCTGCGCTTTCCCAAAGTGATTTTAGCCCAGTGTGAACAGACTTAAGCCCCATTTCATTTCCTCAAACCTCCCAGAGCAGTAATCTCCACCTCCACTCTTACAGGACTGCTTCCTTCGGTCAGCGCCTTCAGTTTAAGGAATGTGGAATTTCTGGATCGATTCAATAACTGATAATTTGCATCTGTTTGTGACCAATATTGATATCAATAACTAATTATTTTACTTGTTTTGCATCATATTATAATGTATATCCCAGGTGCAGAGCTTTGGAGGTCATGGGGTAGAGGGGGATGGGGGTGGTGTGTGACCCCCTAATTAACCTGTTGGACCCCCTGAATATCTCAAAATCAAAATTCTGGGGGTCCCTGAAAATAAATGTATTAGGCTGTTAGCCCCTCAACTCCAACTGATTGTTTATCTGCCTCCCCCACAATCAGCTTCTGTCTCTGGTGTTCTTAACTAACTAGAGCTGCAGCACTGCTCTGCCTCAGGGTGGCGCTGTAGCAGACTGGTTCACCCAGTTGGTCCTTCATAGTCTAGAAACTGTAACTCTGCCTGGATTCCTCTGAAAAACTTCACAATGAGCTGCAGCAGATCTGTAAATCTGAAAACTCGCCCAGTTTCCCAAGAGTTTGGAGTGAAGAGTGACTGTTCCTCATTTCTCACACTGAAGACAGAAGAGGAGACGAGGAAGATCTCAGTTACTGTGAGGAAGAGCGCAGAACCGCACTAGAACAGAGACTCTACAGAAGAGGAGACGAGGAAGATCTCAGTGTGAGGAAGAGCGCAGAACCGCACTAGAACAGAGACTCTACAGAAGAGGAGACGAGGAGGATCTCAGTTAGTGTGAGGAAGAGCGCAGAACCGCACTAGAACAGAGACTCTACAGAAGAGGAGACGAGGAAGATCTCAGTTACTGTGAGGAAGAGCGCAGAACCGCACTAGAACAGAGACTCTACAGAAGAGGAGACGAGGAAGATCTCAGTTACTGTGAGGAAGAGCGCAGAACCGCACTAGAACAGAGACTCTACAGAAGAGGAGACGAGGAAGATCTCAGTTACTGTGAGGAAGAGCGCAGAACCGCACTAGAACAGAGACTCTACAGAAGAACAGCTGATAAACAAACATTTACTGACACTGAAGCATCAGCGCCGCTATGGAGAGAGAGAGCTAGACCCCCCAATTCCAGGGGGGGATTTCACACTGGGCACATTGTCACTGTCCAAAAAGGGTTCTTTGGCTTGTAACAATAGTGAAAACCCTTTTCAAAAAGGTTCTATATAGAATGATTTACAGGACATTCTCCATCAACCATTTAATGATGCAAAGAACTCTTTAAACATGCAAAGGGTTCTTTGGTCTTTTTGGTGCTACTTAGAACCCTTTTTGAAAAGATTCCATATAGAACCATCTACAGCACATTCTCCCTCAATCTGAAGAACGATTTCACTATGCAAAGAACCCTTTTAGCATGCAAATGGTTCTTTGAGTGTTCATGGTTCTATATAAAACCACTTTCTTTACTAAGAATCCCTTTGAAGAATCATCTTTTTTAAGAGTGTAGATCTATCTAGCACCAAAAAGGGATCTTTCTATCGTTATGATGTCAAGCTTGTACTGCTTTTGCGTACAAGCTTGACATCATAACGATAGAAAGAACCCTTTTTGGTGCTATATAGAACCACATTCTCCATCAGTATGAAGAACCATTTCTCCATGCAAAGAACACTTTTAGCATGCAAAGGGTTATGTGAGTGTTCATGGTTCTATAGAGATCCATTGTCTTTACCAAAGAACCCTTGAAGAGCCATCCTGGAAAACTGCATAGTTCAACTGAAGCACCTCCAAAACAATTTTCTCAACGATTATTAGAACCAAACAAGTTAAATTAAGGTCAATTAGTCAGCTCCATTACAGAGGTGGGTCTGGATTCACACAGTCCTGAAAGGTTCCTCGAGGGCGAGAACAAAGTATCTGGCACGTTTCACCCTCTCTAAATGTTACAGAGGCTAAAAGGGATTAAGTTTGGGCACGGAACGTTTTCCACGCTGCACTTTTACTCGCCAATAAACTAAATCTCTTTCCTTTCCGAGGCGCAGAGGGACAGAGGGAAGGAGGGAGGCTCGGGAATTAGCTTTACTATCTCCAACATCCTGCCAGGCTCTGTTTATTGGGTGCTAAAGCCTGTGAGGCCGAGCCCCTCGCAGCGTCCTGTGAAAATGGGGTGACCTCATATAGCTGACCTCTGATCCCAGATACACAGGAGAAAAACACTATGCTGATCCAGGCTCTGCCCCCAATACCTACACTTAGAGTCGGTTATTCATTCAGCCTAATGAGAAACTGTAGAACTGACTCAGTTTATATCACAATACCTACATTTAGAGTCAGTTATTCATTCAGCCTAATGAGAAACTGTAGAACAGACTCAGTTTATATCATAATACCTACATTTAGAGTCGGTTATTCATTCAGCCTAATGAGAAACTGTAGAACAGACTCGGTTTATATCACAATACCTACATTTAGAGTCGGTTATTCATTCAGCCTAATGAGAAACTGTAGAACAGACTCAGTTTATATCACAATACCTACATTTAGAGTCAGTTATTCATTCAGCCTAATGAGAAACTGTAGAACAGACTCAGTTTATATCACAATACCTACATTTAGAGTCAGTTATTCATTCAGCCTAATGAGAAACTGTAGAACTGACTCAGTTTATATCACAATACCTACATTTAGAGTCAGTTATTCATTCAGCCTAATGAGAAACTGTAGAACAGACTCAGTTTATATCACAATACCTACATTTAGAGTCAGTTATTCATTCAGCCTAATGAGAAACTGTAGAACAGACTCAGTTTATATCACAATACCTACATTTAGAGTCAGTTATTCATTCAGCCTAATGAGAAACTGTAGAACAGACTCAGTTTATATCACAATACCTACATTTAGAGTCGGTTATTCATTCAGCCTAATGAGAAACTGTAGAACAGACTCAGTTTATATCACAATACCTACATTTAGAGTCGGTTATTCATTCAGCCTAATGAGAAACTGTAGAACTGACTCAGTTTATATCATAATACCTACATTTAGAGTCAGTTATTCATTCAGCCTAATGAGAAACTGTAGAACAGACTCAGTTTATATCACAATACCTACATTTAGAGTCAGTTATTCATTCAGCCTAATGAGAAACTGTAGAACTGACTCAGTTTATATCACAATACCTACATTTAGAGTCGGTTATTCATTCAGCCTAATGAGAAACTGTAGAACAGACTCAGTTTATATCACAATACCTACATTTAGAGTCGGTTATTCATTCAGCCTAATGAGAAACTGTAGAACAGACTCAGTTTATATCACAATACCTACATTTAGAGTCGGTTATTCATTCAGCCTAATGAGAAACTGTAGAACAGACTCAGTTTATATCACAATACCTACATTTAGAGTCGGTTATTCATTCAGCCTAATGAGAAACTGTAGAACAGACTCAGTTTATATCACAATACCTACATTTAGAGTCGGTTATTCATTCAGCCTAATGAGAAACTGTAGAACAGACTCAGTTTATATCACAATACCTACATTTAGAGCCACTATTTTCCATCATCAACATTCCATATAAACTCAGAAGACTCGTGTAGGTTCACTGGTGGTTCTGGATAGTAAATAAAATGTCTATATTTGTGTTGTAGTCATGGCGACCCCTGGTTCCTATCACCACCACTGTAAAGACATCTGAACCATCTCACACACTGAACTATTCAGGAATGTGCTGAGTAATCTGTGTATTTCCTCTTTAAACTAGCTAGTCAGTATACACAGCATAAATAATGTGATTACGCAATAATCAGCTTTAGTACAGCTGATCTGCTAGAATATCAGCACTGCAGTAAGGGGGGTGTAACTCTGAGAGTGGAGTTGTGGGATTTGTAGTGCTGCTGTACCGTAATGTGCTGTCAGTGTAGCGTTAGCATTAGTGTAGCTGCAATATGAGCTGTATAGTCAGCAGACGTACCTCTGAGGATGTAGTTCTGGTAGTTCTGATCTGCTTCTGCTCCCACTTTAATGAGACAGGTGAGTCCCTCAGCCACCACGAACTCATGCACCAGGTCTTTATCATCCTGCAGAGGAAACAAACAAATAAACCTCCAAAACAAACACAGCACACGAATCAGTGCATCTCCTGCACACAAAGAAAAGCAGAGCCTAACATCCCCGACATGTGAACACATTTAATTCTTGCACCTTTAGTAAATGTTATATGCTGTTTACACTGTCTGAGCGCTCTGTGATCAATGGACCACCAGAGACGGACCAAAATGACTTTCATTTTCATTTTTTCTCCTATTAAATGATAATATACAGCCAACATAAGTTCAGTTCCCAAACCTCCTGCACGCAGAGCTTAGCGAGCGACTTTCACAACATCCAGAAGCGAGATTCATTAGCTCTACTGTACTTGACCCTCCAAACTGGGCCAAACTGCTCCGCACTTCATTTCCTGTAGCCATGGCAACCTCATGTGTTTGGGGTGCAGCGGCGACAGGTTGCCAAGCGCGGTTCGGCTGGTTCCCCAGACCAGAAGCTCATTAAATACATAGAAGTAGAAGAGTGAAGAACGCTGTTTGTGTAAGCTTGATTTATGTACACGTTTGTTTTTATACCTTGTTGGGACATAAGTACCTATACGTAACATATGTCCCAATATATGTGTAAGTATGTGCTTATGAATGTGTAAGTGCTTATATAATAATAATAATAATAATAATAATAATAATAATAATATGTATTTATAGGCACCCTTACGCTAAAGTATTATCACTATTATATTATCATACACTCTAAAAAAGATGGTTCTTCAAAGGTTCTTTAGTAAAGAAAGTGGTTCTATATAGAGCCATGAACACTCAAAGAAACCTTTGCACGATTAAATGGTTCTTTGCATCATGAAATGGTTCTTCAGACTGATGGAGAATGTGCACGAATGTGCTACAGACGATTCTATTTAGAACCTATTTGTAAAGGGTTCTATACAGCACCCAAAAGGGTTCTTCTATTGTTACAAGCTAGACACTGTAACAATAGAAAAAAGGTTCTATATAGAACCATCTACAGCACATTCTCCATCAGTCTGAAGAACCCTCTCATGATGCAAAGAACCATTTAATCATGCAAAGGGTTCTTTGAGTGTTCATGGTTCTATATAGAACTATTTTCTTTACTAAAGAACCTTTGAAGCACCATCTTTTTGAAGTGTAACTCAAACCCAGTCTTAACCTGAACTAATCAAAAGAAATTTTGCTATTTCAGTTGTAAAAAATTCAATCCAGAGCTTTTTGAATCACTTTTTCCAAAGTCAGGACCGTTTTATTCCCATTTTTTCTACAAAGTCAGGACGTTTTTGCCCCCAAAAGATATAAAAACAAGCACAAAGACACACATACCATCTACCAGCAGAGCCACAGTCCAGCACACTCAGTTAAATCTCTGATTTCTCCACCGTGTGCCATGCTATGTGTGGAATGAAGCTAGAGTCCAGCATGATGGCCAATATTTCCCAGCTCTGACAGTTCAGTGGACCCACCCAGTCACTGATGCAAAAATGATTAGAGGCTTGGAGCTTCGAGGAGCTTTATTGGCCAACAAAAGCTAAAATGACACGGAATTCCTCTGCACACATCTGGACACACGCAATCTACTTCAGAATGTGTCTGAAAGTGTTTCCCAAATACAGTACTGTACAGACCACCGTCATTACCTCATTTACACTCATTAGGCTATTCATTTTTCAGGAGAATTTTCAGAGGAGATTAGATATGAGATAATCCACTCGCATATAAAAAGAAGAAAAATCAAAGGAAAATAAGTGAAAAAAGGAGTTCAAAACTGATTAAAAGCTCCAGACAGAATGTGGCTCCTAACAACCACCTGGAAGAGCTCGTAGACCCCAAATCTGCCCCCTCAGATAAACAGCACTTAAAGATTTCATCTTTGAGAGAGAGGAGAAAATCTAGGTCTGAAAGGATGTGTAGCTGATGGTTGTGGACCCCTTTAGTGTAATAACCTGCTCGATAATGTAATCCAGGCTCTTAACTGATAATGTAACAGGATTTACTGATATGTTAATAACATTATAAAGTGAATGGGAATTCATTCAATGATTAGTTTCACCATATATTAGACTTATTACTGACAATAAAAGAAGAAGCCATTCTTAATGTTCTGGTCGTGTCCTGATTTATTGTTTTTCTCTGTCATAAATATACATTCTGATTTTCATAAGACTTCATTTCTTTGTCCAGACTGAGTCTCACTGACGCTCCCCTCACTCCAGACCGAGCTGTGTACACCACAAAGGGACTGTGGGAGACCTCTGATAACTAACTTACAACTTACAAATTTACATACGTATAATCAGTTATGCAATAAGACATCACATGGTACCAATAATGTAATAAGGCATCATAATACAGTCCCAATAATGTAATAAGGCATCATAATACAGTCCCAATAATGTAATAAGGCATCATATAAGGTCCCAATAATGTAATAAGTCATCATATAAGGTACCAATAATGTAATAAGGCATCATAATACAGTCCCAATAATGTAATAAGGCATCATATATGGTACCAATAATGTAATAAGGCATCATAATACAGTCCCAATAATGTAATAAAGCATCATATATGGCCCCAATAATGTAATAAGGCATCATATATTGTCCCAATAATGTAATAAGGCATCATATATGGTCCCAATAATGTAATAAGGCATCATATATGGTCCCAATAATGTAATAAGGCATCATATAAGGTCCCAATAATGTAATAAGGCATCATATAAGGTCCCAATAATGTAATAAGGCATCATTTGGAATAAAGGTACAGAGTGACTCACTGACACTCCGACAGCTGAGAGCAGAGTTAGCTGCTGTGATTTCTGCTTTTTTTCCTGACACTGAAAAATGAATAACTTGTACTCCGTGTTTGTTTTGACTGGAGATTAAATACATGAGGGGGGTCTCTGAATTTTTCACAGATCCTCTTGATGACAAATGGACCATAATCCTTCACATCTGTCAACAGCTGTGTAATTTAAGCCTGCCAGACAGACCTGCAATGAACATTTAGAACAAGCATAACAGATAAATACATCCACAAAAACAGGCACATATTTTAGGGCTCTGTTTACAGCTGAGAGCTAGATGTAAAATGTAGCTAAATGAAAAACATTTCCTTCTGCTGTTAATGTAATAATCTTTGACTCTAATGCTGCTCACATGGAGCACCGAGTGCACAGATGAAGAAAGAACCCGGTTCTGTTTAAACTGAGGGGCTGACAACTTATATATTTACTAGAACTAGGCTGGTCAGCTAGCTAACAGGCTAAAAGATGCTAGCTAACATGCTAAACAGCTCCATCATTAACATCACAGGCTTGAATTAAAGCACTTATGAGATGCAGCTTCAGCAGCTGTAAACTCTCTGCACGCCGTTTCACATGAGTCTCCGATGTGGACTAAATGAAGAATGAAGGGTGTCCAGCGTGATGGTCAGTCCTTAGTGATTTCCTGAGTGTCCATTGGTCAGTTTCACACAGAATGTAGACAGACACACGAATCCACCAGTTCCACACGGTGAGAGGCAGATGACGTGTATCTCAGCCCCTCTTCATAGGCTCATAACTCCGGATGTGAGTCTCGTATGATCTCGTGATAAGATGGAATGGAAAGGGCGACTCTACAGATTCAGGAAGTGTCTGAACTGGATTTCTGAGCTGGATCGTCACAAAGACACAGACACAGATATAGAGACAGAGAGTTTGACGTGCGGGTGAGTTCATGTAAGCCACCTTTGCGTGAGACTCAGCTGCTCGTCTGCTGTGGCAGTTGTGAAAACTGGTGGTACAAGACCACTTGGACAGACCTGGCTGTCATTATAGTGCCCCCTGCTGTAACGCTCAGAATGCAGCTTGCGCTTGTGCTGCATTGTGAAATGCGTCATGACACATTTTTTAACTCAATTACGCACAAAACCCGTCTGCGTCCTTGTGTGAAGTACGTTTCGGGCCTACCTGATGTGCTGAGCTGGTGCTAATGCTGTAGAGTTTGCTGTAAGAAATCTGAGAGGACAGTAAGAACTTTACCTGGAAGATCTGCTTCAGAGAGAACAGCGCTCGTCTCAGCTCCCGACCCGTCGAGTTGAAGAGTTTCTCTGAAAGACAGAAAAAGAGAAAAGAAGAGAATTTTACAGCAGACAGACTTACTACAGTGCACTGATAGTCACTGTGTTTAATGTTAATGTTAGATTTAGTTTGAATGTGTTTAATACAATCAAAGCTATGGTTCAATCCGATTCCATTAGATTCCATTCTGTGAAGTTCGACTCAAATTTGAATCAATTCAATACAGCTCAGGTCAGTTCAATTCAGTTTAGTTCAGTTCAATTCAGTTCAACCCCAAAAAACTATTTAGATTAAATTAAATTGAATTCAGTTCAATTTGGCTAAAATAAAAAAAAATAATAATTTGATTCAATTCAATTTAGTTAAAAACAGTGAAAATTATTATGATTTAACTTCACTCAGTTCTCTTTAGCATGACTCAATTCAGTGCAATTCAGTTCAATTCTATTCAATTAAATTCAACACATAACAAGTCAATTACATTCAAATCAATAAGTTTCAGCTCAATTCATTTAAATCCAATTTGATTCATTTTTCATTGCGACTCAACTCAGTTCAGTTTTGCTCACACATCGTCCTAAACTGAATTCGACACTTCTTCACATCCTCTGCAGCACCACACACACGGTAAACAACACACACACACACACACACACACACACACACACACACACACGGTAAACAACACACACACACACACACACACACACACACACACACACACACACACACACAATCACTGCTCACGATTACAGACTCGGCTGTAACAGTGGCAGATCAGCAGAGCACACAAGTTCCAACACAGCGTGTTAGTGTTCTGTGGAGAACACACGCACACAGGTTTTGTGTGTGTGTGTGTGTGTGTGTGTGTGTGTGTGTGTGTGTGTGTGTGTGTGTGTGTGTGCATGTGTGTGTGTGTGTAATCAGGAAAAGCTGCAGAGGTTTAATCTCCTCTGGATCTGAACAATGCATTTTCCCACAGAATGACTGGCTGCAGTTCTTCAGTCTGCCAGTGAGGGGCGGCACTGAGAGCTCTGCTGCAGCACCGCATTACTGACTCAGCACTCTGCTGCCTCTGAGCTACTGACTGAGCACCTGCTCAATAACACTGCTCACCTCTCTCGCCCTTGCTCTCTCCCTCACTCTCTCCTTCACTCTCTCTCTCTATTCCTCTCTCTTTTCTTTGCCTCTCTCTCCCTCTCTCTCTCCGTATTCAAATCCAATCCAGTCCTTTTACAACAATAGCTGTTTAATTAAAATATAATAACCTTAAAATACTCAGTGAAAACGTGTTAATAAAAATAATAAAGATAATTTATTTCTTGTCCGGTTTCGGTGGGCATGATGAACCTGTGACACGGCACAAACCAAAAATTACACAGTGAACCCAGACTGAACTGAGAGTGTCTGTGAAGGTTCCTCTGCTGCTGCTGTCTGACTGTAACCGCTGATCTTTCTCTTCTTCTCCTGCTGGGAGGCTGTAGATGATTCACCACAGAGCCAGTCACTGTAACCCAGTGACTCCGCCCCCTCAGTCTGACCTCTGGGCTTTTCCCAGCCGGCCGGCATAACTGCGGTCTGTTAAAGCGAGACAGCGTCACCGCACTGCACCGCGCCCTGCAGACAGGTGGAGCGTCTCTCTGATGTGTGCAGTGAGAGCAGGAAGAGCCACGATGCCGAAAAACCACAGCTGATTCACAGAGCTCACCAAACCAAACCCCCTCAACACCCCCTAAACTAAACTGAAACCCCCCCAAATCCAACTACACCCCCTCAACACCCCCTAAACTAAACTGAAACCCCCCAAATCCAACCAAAACCCCCTCAACAACCCCCTAAACTAAACTGAAACCCCCCAAATCCAACCAAAACCCCCTCAACACCCCCTAAACTAAACTGAAACACCCCCAAATCCAACTACACCCCCTCAACACCCCCTAAACTAAACTGAAACCCCCCAAATCCAACCAAAACCCCCTCAACACCCCTAAACTAAACTGAAACCCCCTAAATCCAACTACACCCCCTCAACAACCCCCTAAACTAAACTGAAACCCCCTAAATCCAACTACACCCCCTCAACACCCCCTAAACTAAACTGAAACACCCCCAAATCCAACTACACTCCCTCAACACCCCCTAAACTAAACTGAAACCCCCTAAATCCAACTACACCCCCTCAACACCCCCTAAACTAAACTGAAACCCCCCAAGTCCAACCAAACCCCCTCAACACCCCCTAAACTAAACTGAAACCCCCCAAATCCAACTACACCCCCTCAACACCCCCTAAACTAAACTGAAACCCCCCAAATCCAACCAAAACCCCCTCAACACCCCCTAAACTAAACTGAAACCCCCCAAATCCAAACCACACCCCCTCAACACCCCTAAACTAAACTGAAACCCCCCAAATCCAACCACAACCCCCTCAACAACCCCCTAAACTAAACTGAAACCCCCCAAATCCAACCAAACCCCCTCAACACCCCTAAACTAAACTGAAACCCCCCAAATCCAACCAACCCCCCTCAACACTCCCTAAAGTAAACTGAAACCCCCCAAATCCAACCACAACCCCCTCAACACCCCCTAAACTAAACCAACACCCCCAAACCCAACCAAACCCCCTCAACCCCCTCCAAACTAAACCAACACCCCCAAACCCACCCAACACCCCCAAACTAAACCAACACCCCCAAACCCACCCAACACCTCCAAACTAAACCAACACCCCCAAACCCACCCAACACCTCCAAACTAAACCAACACCCCCAAACCCACCCAACACCCCCAAACCCACCCAACACCTCCAAACTAAACCAACACCCCCAAACCCACCCAACACCCCCAAACCGACCGATATATATATACTTACTGATAGATACTCACTGCCATTGCACATAAACCTCAAAGCAAAGTAAACCTGAACTCAACAGCCCCAATAAACATGTCACATACACTTACTACAGCCTCACACACACACGCACACACACACACACACACACACACACGCACACACACGCACACACACACACGCACACACACACACACACACACACACACACACACACACACACGCACACACACACACACACTCACAGAGAAAGAGAGACCCCCCCCCTCGCTCTGAGAGAACAGAGCGGTCCGTATTTAATGAGAAATATTTCAGCTGTGATTAGTTCCAGTCCGGCTGGCAGGGTGAGATGGTCGCAGCACTGCCCTCTGCCTACTTTCCTCTCTGTCCACAACCCGCAGGTCCTCAGAATGAGGAGGAGGAGGGGCGTGAGGACATCTCAGGGGTTTATGACACTCCCCTTCATATCCAGCCTGATTAGAACACGTCCAAACACAGCGGAATTTGAGATTGCATATTGCACTGATCATCAGGGAGCTCAAGAGCTGAAGAACTGAAACCAAAACTGAATTGAACAGAATCATAGCTAAATCTGAAAGCTCATGATGCACTGAACCATTTCTCAAAGAATCGTAATCATTATTCAATTCTGTTGGACTGAATCATGGTAAAATTTGTGATTTCATGACACATGGAATCGTTTTCTAAAGAATCTAAAAGAACTAATTCGAGTCATGGTGAAATCAGAGATTTCATGATGCACCAAATAATTTCTGAAAGAATCGTAATCAAACTGAATCATTAGATTGAGATTATCTGATCCACTGAATAATTTCTGAAAGAATCGTAATCAAACTGAATCATGAGACGGAGCTTTCGTGATTCACTGTATCATTCCTTAAAGGACTGTAATCATTATTGAGTTCACTTCTATTGGATTGAATCATGGTAAAAATCGGCAATTTCCTGGCACATGGAATCATTTTCTAAAGAATCGCAATCTAAATGAAACTGAATGAAATCGTGGTGAAGCTTGAGATCTCCTGATGAGCCTAATCATTTCTGAAAGAATCATTATCAAATTGAATCATAAGACTGAGATTTCATGACGCATGAATCATTTCTTAAAGAACCGTAATCTAAAAGAACTGAATCGAATCATGTTGAAGCCTGAGATTTCCTGATGCACTGAATCACTTTCTATAGAATCGTAAAGGAGTCGTATGGTGAGGTCAGAGGTTCATGCCCCTGGTGTCTCACTGCTCACTGTACTGGATTATCTCGGAGCGCTGCAGGCAGAGGAGTGAAGGTTCTGGAGGACGTTTAGAGCTTTTCTCCTGATAACAGTAATTATAGCAGCAGTAAAAGTGAGCAGCGTTATAATTTGAACTCGTTTCTCTCGCCGGAGGGGGAGAGAGGTACACATCTGACCCAGAATCAGAGAAATGGAATCACTCACACCTGCACGTGTGCAGACAGCGGCTGCAGGATCTCACGAAGGTATTCACAACTGCGGACCAGACACCTTCACTCACTTCCCGAAACCCTCCATGAATCAGCGCTGCTGCTGCGCCAGAACAGCAGCCAGTGAATTCTGCAGGGTGGGTTCTGGAACTTATCGGCCTAGTCTCTCTATCTCCGGTCTCTGTATCCTACACTCGGCTCTAGACAACGGCTCTGTGAACACTCCAGCACCATCTGCGTCCTTAATGGTTCTTTGAACGGTGAAATGGTTCTTCAGATTGATGGAGAATGTGTTAGTTCTATATAGCACCAAAAAGGGTTCTGCTATTGTTACAATGTCAAGCTATACAACACATTCTCCATCAATCTGAAGAACCTTTTCAGCATGCAAATGAGTGTTCATGGTTCCATACAGAACCCTCTGACAAGGTGAAATATATGCTAATGTTTTTTCAGGCTTCAAGTAAAACATGGAGCGTCTTTTAGAATCTTCAGGCGTCCCTGTTTAATCTAGAACTGTCTTTATCTAATTTTGCGTTCCACCTTAAAGACCACAGCAGTTTTATTATGGTGCCTAAATGCACCAGAACGTACCTGCTGCACCGCTTAAGGTGGAACGGAAAATTCCAGTAAGAAGCTTCAGCCTCATCAGAAAGTGTCCATGCAAATCATTGTTAGCTTAGTGCTAACAAATGACTAGAATCCCAT